GTACAAATGTTAATTTTCCCTTTCCCTTCAAGTTTTCCTTGTTTTTGTATATTTTTTGTTTTTGTTTTTCTAAAGCTTTTGATGAAATTGTATCCCCAATCGTCAGTCAACTTTCCATGTAATGAGCTTCGGTTCGCTTTCACTACTAAATTCCAGTATCTAACTTAATTCCAGTATCTATCTACTATGACTTTGTGTATGTTGACAACGCAATTGATTTAATTGAGATTAAAACGCATTCTCGATTTTCCCTTTTGCCTTCGCACACTTTTCCACCCATTGATACAGCAATGAAAATGCAAATTGAAGTGCACAGTCCACAGATGCGTTGAATAGGAAAATGGCTTTCGGTGATGAAATCAGAGTATCGGATGGGGTTAAGGGGGGGATTGAAGAGTGCAGGGAAAGGACCTACAGGGTTAAGGGTGGGCTTAATTCGAAAATCGGATTTCAAAGAAACTCAACCATTTAAGCAGAGATAATCCTTTTTCTGTTGCAATTGATTGTCTGTTAAGTCAGAGGATTTTATTATGAATATTTTGTTATTTTTTTATGAGTGAATATTGAGCTGATTAAATGGTATTACAAATATTTAGTTACTAATATAATTTACAAAAATTAATTAACTAACAGAAACCATTAAAAATGTCTTTATATAATATAAATATTCTTATAATAAAAACTTCCTTTCAACCTTTTATATGTTACCTGTAGTTTATTATGCCAAAGCTAAAGAAAACTTTTCCACTTTCCACTTGAAGGAAATCAATCTCTAGCCAGAATTCTGAAGGCACCCATCTGGCATGAAAAACTTCAACTGAGAAGTTTCGCTCATTAAAAATTAATTGTTTATAAAGTCGAAGGAGAAGAAATTACACACATATATCAAGGATATATATAAAATATATACTAAGAAATTTATTCTTCAAATTATCCAATGCAAGCTATCTTTAAGCTGAAAATTTTGCCCAGCGCTGTCACTCATTTTCCACGATTTTCTCAGCGTTGAATAGTTGCATGTACAATTTACCGCTGCTACCTTTTGAGGCAGCCAACAAGTGTTTTCATTGCAATTAGCGATGTTTCACCAGAGCCGCCGCCTCTAAGGTTTTCCACCCTTTTTTTCCCACCTCCCCTAACGTTTTCCTCCGCCTTCATCCCACCCCCCTTCTTGTTTTCCGCCACTCAACTCGCAGCTTCATTCTTCATTATGCACAAGTTGCTCTGTGGCCCACTTTTCTTGGGGCTAACAGATAGACATGCCCATGACACGGCCACGCCCGCAATTCACGCTTGACATTCAACGCCCCCGGGCCCCCGTCGGAGCGTCCTGTGAGTCCTGTGAGTGCTCAGGATTGTATGGGCTACACTACGAGAAATTAGATACCAATTTATGGGCATTCAAGTTAATAGGAAATGTTTTCAAGTCTTCCAAATATGTATTCTCTATTATTTATTAAGAACAAGAAAAGAAGACTCCTAAAATCGAAATATTGCTTTGTGTTGCAGAACTCCTTATAGGGATGGAAATAACGAAGCGATATATCGATATTTTATCGATATTTGACGCGAAAATCGATATACAGATCTAAATAAATAAATAAATCAATAATTATTCAATTGCTATTTAATTTACTTGATCATTATACCCTCAAAAAGAGTATATTTAAATTAACTAAAACTTGTCCAAACTTGTTCCGTTAAAATTGATAGAGCGACACATTTTGATAATTAAAAATTTAAAATTTTTAAGCTTTACAACATTTTCAATATATGAATTTAGAGTCATATTTATTTTCCATACATCCTATCGCACATTTTCTCACCCTATACATAATTATATAACAAAAGATTCTCTCAGTGCATTTGTTTATGCATTATTCAAAATGGACACTTTTCTTTTGTCGCAGTGTGGCAAATGGAAAATGAGCAGAAGAAGTCGGAAATGCTGTCACTTTGTATGAAAAGTTTTGCTGGCGTGTTTTTGAAATTTTCCCCGACTGCACAGAGAAAAGGGCGGAAATTGTCAGTGCACAATATCCGTTGATTTGTGCAGCATGAAAATGGCAAAAATCCATTGACACGAAATGCAAGGCCCAGAAGCATTTTCCGACTTCAAATTATGCATATTCCAAAGGATTCCAAGCCAAGACTTCTCACTGTGCCCCAAAGGACATATCGCATGACCAATTAGCACTCAAAGGATGGATGGATAGATGGATGGGATATTGTTTCCCTTGCAAAAGGTTCAAGCGAAAAGAACCCTTTTTCTCATCATCCAGACATTCATTCATCCATCCGTTATTTACTTTCAATTCCCCAAATAACAATGCTGAATTTTTTTCTATTTTTCCCCATTCGAACCTTTTGCGGTCCACTGTTGCTCTTCTTGCATTCGACATTAACATAAAGCCCAAAAATGGAATAGAAGGACGAAATAAATAAATAAAAAATAAGAGAAAATGCCCAGGATATGACGAGAGAGGAGGACGGGGAAAAGAAAACTCGCTTGTTGCTATTTTCCATCCCCAGCAATCCCTTCACTCTTTTCCCTTACTTTTTCCCCAGCTTCAAGTCAACGCAAATCACTTGGGGCCAAAAAGTCTCTGAGCCCTCAGGTAAATGCACAACAGCAACAAAAAAAATAATATAAAAAAGAAAGAAGAATAAGAAAAATGGAATATCCCTTATAGAATAGCAGAGGAGGGTCACAGGGCAGGCAGGTCACATCAATAAGGACGCCTGTCAGTCAGAAACTGAGTTTGATCAACATACCGAACACTGGGAAATCTACCATTGGATACACTTCCTTCAAGGTGACATTTTAACATAGTATAATTACCTGTAAATAAAGAGAAAAATAAACATCATAAGTAAATAATAAACTAAACAAATTTAATTTATATTAAATACATATCATACATATATAACATTATTTATAGTAAACAATCTTTAATACATGTCTTAGTCCTGTCATGTCTTTCTCATTTTAATTTATTTATATAAAATATGAGCTCAAGTGATCTGAAACTTAAATTAATTAAAATGTATTATTCATAAACTGTTGTTAAGTTTTTCACTTTGCTTATTGTTTATTATGTTCAATTATTACCGAAGTCATCGATTTATTAAAAATGATTAAGAGGCTGATTGAGACATTGTTGAATTGTTAAATTGTTTCTAATTGAGTTCTTTTCCTAAAATTGATTGAGCTGTATGTTAAAAGAGATATATGTACAGTTAAAGTATATTCTTATGTTACTTTTTTTAATTAATTACAAACATTTCAAATTGATTTTTTATAAATCATTTACAAACATTTTAATTTGTTGATTTGCTCTCTTTTCTTTTATTTTTCTTTCTTTGCTTTTCTTTTTTTGTCGTTTTCTTTTCTTTTCTTGATTTTCCATTCTTTTCCTGGGGCCTTGCATGACTAACGGATATCAATATACCAAGTCCCTTTCCTTCTGTCTGTCTGACAGTCTGCCTTTTTTGGGTTTTCATTGGCAAAATGCGAAGGAACAGAAAAAAGTATATATACATATATAATATATATAGAGTAAGCGAAGAAAAGGTCTCGGCACATTTTCTTGTTAAATTTTTAAAGAGGCTTTTCCAGCAAATGCCCGTTATTTTCATATTTCTGCCTGCGCAAAATGTTATCTACCAGGAAAGTTGACCTTTTTGCCACCCAAGATGGGGGTGGCAAAAAGGAAAAATCTTGTGAAAAAAAGTAGAATGGCACTGGTATTTAATATGCCTTCAACTATCAAATTTCCTTGATCACAGCTAATTGAATGAAATGTGAGTTGTTTTGAACTTCAGTTAGCCGGGATTGAATTTAAAATCGACTGTTAGGAATATTTTTGACGTTTTGTGAATGTATTTCTATATATTCATTTAAAACAAATGGAATTATCTAAGTGTGTTGTTGAGTTGTTGTTGAACTGTTGTTGAAAAAATGAATAATTGATGGTTATATCTTAAAGTATTTGATTTTCTGAACAATCATGAAAATAAAACCGTTAAATAAAACGTATAGTATGACATAGGAATATTAAACTGTTGTTTATGTTGTTATGAAATTTGTAATTTAAGTAAGTAGACATTCAATTAATTGCGGCAAACCATTAAATCAATTTTTAAATACCGCAACTATCTGAATCCAATCTACTTAATCGGTAAAATATCAATACAATTGACTCAATCCAAGAACTGATTGATTGCATTTTCCTCAATCATATTTGTGGTTGAGCAATTCAACAAATGCGATCTACTCAACCATATGAATGCATTCATTTCTCGAGCTATTCCGATGGTAAAAATGAATTGATTTAATTTGTGGCCAAAGTGTCGCCCATTAAACTTCGATACTAACGAACTAAAATGTTTGTCACTGCGGTATGTGTGTGTGTTTTTTGAGTATCTGTGTGAGTATCTATGTGAGTGATAGAATGCGAGTGTAGCAATCAAACTGTTGATTCCCGCCCAAGGGGCAAGCGAAAGAAAAACGACAAAAAAAAAGAAATAATAAAAATGGCATCCGCTTTCGCTGTCGCTTTCGATGTCACTGCGGGCTGGGGGTGGTGGCAACCACCACCTACTTTTACATTCCCACCCACTTTTCCCCCAAATCATTTTCCCCACACCTCCACCAACCGAATGGCACCTTCTCCAGTGTCTTTGCCCCAAGGAACGCGATGGAATAGTGAAATAGACAGAGAAATAGTGGAATTTATGCCAAATTCCTTTCGCACTGACGCCAGACAACCACTTCAATCACCTCTCGTTATGGATCCACAAAGGTTATGCAATAATTTTTATATTTCAACCTATTTTTCTTGCAAACAACTTTTACATAACTCTTGTGTTTATTTGTATGTTGATTTTAGTGAAAAATAATACATAGAAAATATAAAAACATTTTCAAGGAGAGTATACAAATATTGATTATCTACTGTATTGTAATTAAATCAGGAAAAATAAGAAAGGAAAGCTATCTACTTGGGAAACCTAAAAAGAAATATAATTCAATTAAAAATCAGTTATATATCTTCTTATAAAAAAGAAAATATATTTTTTATTAAGGAAGAGATTACAACAAAGCCTGATTACTTATTTTGGATATTCTTTCTCTTAATTTTCTATATATTTAAAGCACATTATATCTTCATATATACTAACTAATTTGTGGTCCAGTAATATACACATAATAATGTCAAGTTATCAAGTTTCAGAGCCAGCAGCTTTCCGTCCTATGTCTAATATCCGGCTGTGATGACAGCAATTTTAAAGTTTGGAAAACAGAGCTCGGAAAACTTTCAGCAAACTAGACAAGTGGCAGTCAAAACAAAAGTTCTTGAAGGTATTACAAAATCCACTATGTGTGATGTAGAAAAATAGATTTATATTTATTGTATATATTTATTGTATATATATATAGATATATGCATATAGAACAAGCATGCATGCAACAGCTGACGTTGGCGTTGAGTAATCTAATTAAAAGTTTGTTGCAACTTGTTTTTTAATGATGTCACGCCTAGCAAAATTTGGCGGCAAACCCTTTTCATTCTTTGCCTCTGTAGCCATCCCTTGCTGTTTCCCACCTTGCCATCTCACTCTGCTCCTGGTTGGAGTCTAAAAAACCTTCTATTTTGCTTTAATTACAATTTATGGATGCTTCAAGTTTTTGCCAGAGCAGCAGGAATAAAAATATGGGAATTATAAAAAGGTAAGTGGCAGTCGAATAGGGTAAAAATGCCAAAAAAGGCAAGAAAAACGAAACCAAAAAAAGAAAAGGTAAAAAGTAAAGTAAGTCTGAGCTGGTAAAGAAAATAAGAAAGGTATGCAAAAGTATGTAATTACACAAGACAAAGAACACTGAACAAAAAACTGTTTTGTGATAGCATTTAAATTTATGAATTAAGATTTTTTCAAATTAAAATATTTATTATGCCGGAATAAAATCATAATAGTTTGACCATTTACTGTTGTGTTAATATGTTTGTTAAAAATCGTTTGCCTTTTTAATTTAAACTATTTAACCAATTTAAGGTAAAATGAAAACAAAATCATTAAAATGTGACCATATTTAAATTAATTAATTACTTTAAATTTAATTATACATTTTTCAAATTATAACAAGAAAGGAAGCTAACTTCGGCACGCCGAAGTTTATATACCCTTGCAGATAGAACTTCTATGAATAGGAATCCATACAATATAAATTATATATACTTGTGTTAAAAAACAATGAAGTAATACCTGCTTTCATTTCATTCACCTATACATATTATATTTGCAGTTTTACATTCACAGATTTGCATTTTTCCTCTACATCAAACGATCGTTTGTATGGCACCTATATGATATAGTCGTCCGATTTTTATGAAATTTGCCACAAAATTTTAGACTTATATAAAATGGCTATACCTCAAATTTGATGAAAATCAGCTGAAAACTAAAAAAGTTATAAATTTAATTGTATTAATTTCTCGATCGTTCCTATGGGAGCTATATGATATAGTCGTCCAATTTTCATAAAATTTTACATAAAATTTTAGAATAATATGAAATGGCTATATTTCAAATTTGATTAAATTCTGTTGAAAACTAAAAATGTTATCGCCACCGCGATTGTCAGTCTTCCGACAACAGCCACCGCCATTCTCATTCCTCTCAAATTTCTCGATCGTTCCTATGGGAGCTATATGATATATTAGTCCGATTTTCATAAAATTTTACACAAAATTGTAGAATAATATGAAACGGCTATATCTCAAATTTGATGAAATCTGTTGAAAACTGAAAATGTTATACTTTTTAATTGAATTAATTTCTCGATCGTTCCTATGGGAGCTATATGATATAGTCGTCCGATTTTCATCAAATTTTACACAAAATTGTAGAATAATATGAAATGGCTATATCTCAAATTTGATCAAATTCTGTTGAAAACTAAAATTTTATAATTTTTTTTGTAAAACTTTTCCGATCATTCCTATGACAGCTATATGATATAGTCGTCCGATCCGGCCCGTTCCGACATATATACGAGTGAGAGTATATAGAAGACTAACTGCAAAGTTTCATTCAGATAGCTCCAAAACTGAGAGACTAGTTTGCGTAGAAACGGACAGACGGACAGACGGACAGACGGACATGGTTAGATCGACTCGGCTGTTGATCCTGATCAAGAATATATATACTTTATATAGTCGGAGGTGCCTCCTTCACTGCGTTGCAAACTTCTGACTGAAATTATAATACCCTGCAAGGGTATAAAAATAGGTATAATTTAGGTATAGTTTAGATAAAATTAAAATAAAATCTTTTAGGTGCGATCATTTCGATCTTTTATTGATGGTTAAACTTTTTGCCTAAAATTTTACTTAAGTCATTTAAGAGTGACCATTTTTTGTTGTCCTACAAGGGCAACGCACCGTGCAAATAACGGTAAAGGAACAGGAACTAGCACACACACATACATAGAAGGCGAACAATGTTCTATGAGTTGAGTGAGTTTCAGTTGAGCGGAACTCAAATACAAGAGGAGAGAAACAATGGAGCAAAACGAGCGAAAGAGGGAAAGCCGAGCGCCTGCGCAGAGATAGAGAGAGAAAGAGAGAGAGTTAACATGAAGGACAATCCAACCGGCAGGATTACAACAGCGGCACAGTGCGCTAAAAATACTATATTGTCTTATACAAGCCGGTCATAATAATGGAACCAAGTTCGATACAGGCAATCAATAAAAAATCGATCATTAAGTATAAATTTAGAAAGAAACTTTAAAAAAAAATTCTAATATATATATATAAAATCTTCTTAGAATTATACCATTCCAGGGTATTATACTTTTAGGCAAACGATTGTAATGCTATGAAGGAGTCATTTCCGACCCTATTAACCATATATATTCTTGATCAGCATCAATAGCTGAATCTTTCTAGGCACATAGGCAAGAAAAAAAAATTTTGGAAATTTTTTCAACATTTTATAAGGGGTTGCATCGTTAAAATTGGCAAATATTAAATTTGAATATGCAAATTTGTTAAACTACTAAAAATTAACACAGAACAGCTTTCCGAATCCAAATTAATGAATTTTTTACATAGTTATGAAAGATATAATACACTGATTTTTCGAAAAATTGTTATATAAAAAATTGTGATTTACAACTATTAAAGGAATGCGAATATTTTAAGTTTTTTTACGAATGATTTCCGTTTTGATTTTATAATTAATTTTCAAGCTGCATAAATATATAAACTTTGGCTTCTTATTATCATATAACTTTGCAATTCTATGAAATAATTTTTGTACTATTTTTTCAGGACCTTCAACCCACTGTGCTTACATCGAAAGGCATTGACATTGGTCGACAATTGTGTCAATCTGGTGAACAGGACACAGTCACATATGCTGGGCTGCTCAGCTGCTCGCCTGCTAAACAGCTTTTCTGTCTTTTTTTTTTATTTTGCGCTTTCCCTCCCCATATGAGTATCTTTTCAGCGATTTTCTTTTTTTTTTTATTTTAGGGGGCAGATGCCCTGCTTGGGTCCGAGTTCCGTCTTATGTAAGCCGGATCTGACAGCCGAAATCACAAAAAAGGAATGAATTAACCCCCGTCCGTCCCCCATGGGCGCAGCTATATTTGGATGGGAATTACATAAACCCCCCCCATTGGATAGCGACCGACTGACGTCACTGGGGGACGGCTTAATTGCTGTTGCTTAAACAAAAAACTAAACCAAAAAAAAAAACATGAAGGGGGGAAAACAACTACAACAAATTGTATAAATCAAAAGTAAAGAACAATTTGAAGCACATGGACACGGTCATAATTTTAATTACCTAAACAAACTGAAGAGTTAGAAAACTTGCTGGCAATTAATAAAGTTTCACTCATCAGCCTTTACGTTTTTTTCTCTTTCCCCTTTTTTTCTGATTTTTGTTTTTATTTATTTTTGGTAAATATTTAGAAACATGAGCCAGCAAGTTCCTTTGATTTTCCACGCTGACAGAAGTGTGTGTGTGTGCCAATAGAATTTTATTTTATTTAACTTTAGTCTGCCTTTCTAGGCAAGTTTTTTTTTTGTAAAGTTCTACAGTTTGTCAGAGTTATTAGGGATATGTGGAATACATTGAGAAAAACTTAAATTAAAAATAAAATAATTCAATAACAATTAAGTAGATTTTCTAAATAAATAAATTGTAAAACAAATATATCAAGAAAGGAAACTAAGGAAGGAAAGCAATTGAACTATAGGATCATAGTTGATCGTAAATAAACTTCAAGTGTTCGCTTCCTTTGACTCGATATTTATCGATATTTTTATAGGACAATTTTATCGAAAAATCGAAGTTTTAAAAACTCATATCTTATCCAAAAATTAATTAATTTTATTTCGGAAAGTTTTCCTATGCTAGTTGTTATTAGGTTAATAAATCTGCATACTCAGATCAAAATTAAAAATAATTAAAAGTTTTTGCTAATTTTTTGACAATTTTATTGATGAAACCCTTTAAAAAATTTTCAAAAAATTTTAATTTTTGTTTTTCTTTCAAAAGATGGTTAGATCAAATCCCCTGTTGATGCTGATCAGGAATATATATGATTTATAGGGTCGGAAATGATTCCTTCACTGTTTTACAAGCTTCTGACTAAAAGGGTATACAAATTAATATTATTAAATATTAAGGCTAGATATTGAGTTAATCCCAGCTCCTGCCAGTGAAAATACATATCATATGGCGAAGTCGTTGGACCTTTTTCCCACTCTCCACCCCCCTAGATTTCCCCGAGTTTTCCCATCCATCCTTTTGTGGGGCACAAACATTCGCCTGAAGCATTTAACAACAGCAACAAATTGAAAGGTTTCGGACTCAGGGTCTCTCGGCTTAGGCTGAAACCTGGAAAAAGGCAAACTATTTGATGGCTTAAATGAAATGAAAGCAGAAGGTGGTCAGGTCAACAGGGGGCAGACGGGAGTGAAGATAGAAAAGGAGTAGGTCCTCCTCAATGGCCGGGTAAATATCCGTGAGTGCTCCTTTGCCCTATGATCCGCCGCCAACAAGGACGAGGACGAGGACGACGACGAGGTAATCTGCTCGAATTTATCGCAAAAGCAAAAAGCAAAGTTGTTTTCTCAAATTCGGCTTTGAAGCGTATTTGCGGTTGCCCAACACGGGCTTAACCAAACTAAGAAGTCTGTTTTTTTTGTCTTTTACGCGGTTTTACATAGTTTTTTAAAAGGTCTTTTGCATGGTTTAAAAATCTTTAATCTCTTCTATATTCATTTCAACTTGTTAAGATGGTAATTATGTATTTAAACATTCAATTTAAATAGTTAAATGGAAACTAAAAATATGAAACTTAGACATTTAAGCAAAATAAAGACCTCGTTTTTGTTTAGGAAGCCATGTTCTGTTAATTTTGGGCATTGCTTTCCTGTACGTCCTAATCTTTGGACACTTCTTCAAGCTGAACTTCTTGGCATCAATTTCAGCCTGATTGTATTCGTTTTTGGCCTTTTCCACTTGATTGGACAGGAGTTCGATACGCTCCTTAATTAAAGCCAAAATACGATTCTTATTCTCCAGATCGTCCTTTCCCTGCTCGATTAGATCATCGAGTTTGCCTAAGCTGGTCTTTGTTTGCTCCAATTGTGCCTTCATGGCGATTGTCTGCTTTTCGAGTCTCTTGCGGCCAGCCTCTGCGATCTTGGCATTCGCCTCACTGGCCTTCAGGCCAGCTGTTAGCTGCTCCATTAAACTCTCTTCCTTACGGGTTTCCCTCGCCAGTTTATCGAAGGACTCCTTGGAGGCCTCGTATACGGTATGAGCAGTTCGAGCTGCATCCGCGGCCTTGTCCGCCAGCTGGATATGCACCTGTCGCGAAGCTGCTGCGGCGGCAGAAGCCTGAGCCTCGTTGGCAGCTTGAGCGGCATCAGCGGCATTTATGGCAATCTCCAAAGCCATGTCCTTGGTCTTCGTTGGGGCTGGAGTGGAAGGCACCCCTGTGCTCTTGCAGGGACTGGAATCCATAAGGAACATATAGTCATCCGATGGTAGGACCTCATTAATGGCATCATCAAAGGCGCGATCCAAGTTACAGGATTCAAAGCCACAGGATGACGCCCTAAAGGGATGTGAATCAATGCTGGAGATCTGAAGGATCAGCAGCACAAGAAATGTTAATGAGAGCTTCATTTTGTAGGGCACAGTTGAAGGATAAAACAAATTTGTGATTGGAAACTCAAGGCTTTTCTATATTATTATAAAATTTTGGTCGATATCCATTTGAGGATGGAGAGGAAATATGGATAGATCGATATTTGTTTATATTAAAAATTTCTTTATATATATATCGATATTTAGTTTAAAATATTTATCTAATATAATCGTTAAAAGCGACAAAAAAAATATTAACAAATTCTTCATTGTTTATTTTTCGATTTCAATATATAAAAACTTAAGTTCCGGTTCAATGTAATCGAGAAAAGTAGGTACTACATTTATCGGTTTTTATTTATCGATTTTCTAAGGATTTTCCAAGGCGATTTTTTTTCTTTATTTAAAACTTCAATTTGACAAAGTTTATGCTATTTACAAAACGATGTTGAGCGCATTATGTATCTTTATATATTATCTCCGATTTTTCCTATCGATATACATCTCTAGCCTGCAAAAGTACTAGTTTCTCATTTAAAATACTTATACTTATACATATATATATTTTTTTCCCTTACTTTTTCTACTAAAACTACTGCATTTTATCCTCTGTAAAGCAGCAGAAACTTCATTTAATGAATTTTTTGTACCATGAATTCAGCTTTTATGCGAGAGCTAAAAATAAGGCCACAAAACTCGCATATGGCCTCCCATAAAAGATGCTGGCAAATAATAAAGACTGAATGAAAGAATTCGAGGGAAAACTGAGAAAAAAAAAAAACACAAACACACACATACACTTTTCCGTCGTCACCTGAGCAGAGGATGGAGGGGAAAGTGGGGGAGGCCAGGGACCATAAAAGCCAAAGAAAAGCATAAATCAAATGCGCTGACCGCGCAAAAAGAAAATTACAGCAAGGCGAATAATTCAAATCGGAAAGCATTAATTAAGCCATAACAATAAACGCTAGCGACTTGGCCAAGGCACCAAAATACACAAACACAAAAACACAGCAGCAACAGAGATTAATATGCATAATTGGCCCGAGTAATTCCAAAATAAACATTGGAAAATATTGTTCATCATTTTCGCCTTGTTAACTCAACTTATTATTCTGTTTACATTAGAGAGCCAAGCCGAAAAAAAAACATTTATTAGTCAGCAAAGCGATGCGCCAGTCTATTAATTAAATATTTTGCTCGAAAATAAATATTACTTTCTAGGCCAGGGACATGTGACATTCATCGAGGAGAAAAGAAAAGAGGCAATATAAAAACCGAATAGAGAAATCATCATCAAATATGATTGCTCTATGAATATTTTGGCACGTTTATTGCTAGCATTTTTCCCTTTTTTTTTTCAATTGAAGAGCACTACGCTTCAATTGAAATAATTGCTTTGACGCTGTCAGACCGAAATACTCGAAAAGAACTTGTTTAACGAGCGCAATTAATAAATCAATTTAACAACAACAACAACAAAATATTGTGACACCATTTAAATCATATTTAGGGAGCAGAAATTTTATTTACCAAACAATACAATTCAAAGATAATATCCTGGCAAAAACTTTTACACGTACCGCTGGGAAAACTGCAAACATTTTCATATTTACTATTTATATTATTTTCCGCGTGTGTGCCTTTGACAGTTTATGTAGAAATCCGAAAAAAAAAAAAAACAACAAAACAAATGCCAAAAACTTTCGGTGGCTAAATTGCAGTTTTGAATTTGCATTGCCTGAATTATGCATGAAGAGACCGGACTTTATGCATATTTAATTGCTTAATTTGTGCTCTAATATGGTTCATTAAGGCATCGCTGCCCACGGGAAACTAATAAGTTAAATTAAAAAATAAATAAATAAAAAAACAATCACTATTGCTATATCATTTTCCTAAAATTGTTTTTGTGAAGAGAGAGGGACCCGAGGATAACAATGCTATCCAATCAAGCGGACTCTTCGCCCTTTTCTAAAGTGCATTTTCTATTTGCAACAAAATCCTTTTTAGTAATAGGAAAATTGTGTTGCACCACGCCCACCACGCTACTCGCATGCCTCATGGCAATTTATGCGTGTCAAGCATTGCATTTTTCCACATTTTCCCTAATGTTTTTACTTCTTTTTTTCCATTTTATTGTATGCGTTGTTTTTTAGATTAGTTTAACATATTTTTACCTCAATCCTGGTTAACAAGAGAGACAGGTTTTAGTGAGAAAAACAATTACACAAGTAGAACCAATTAAATATTTAGAAAAATATAATTGTTTCAAGTTATTTAAAAGCTTTAAACTTGAATTTGGACTAGAAAAATGTCCTATAATTTAAGCTTTTATATTTAATATGTATTTAACATTCTATATTAATTTATACTACCAATATCAATGTCATATGAAAAGACAGGAAAATCACATTAAAATATTCAACAGCACAGTTGTGGATCAAAATTTTCAGCTAAAATTCCATGGAAACTGAGTTACTAGTCAGAAATTGCAAATGCAAATGATAATAATTTACTTGCAGCTGCTGCTGCTACCAATTTTGTTTGCATTTCCGAATTTTAGGGGGGAGCCTTTGGGCCAAATATTTGCATTGGCTCTGTGCAAGTGAAGCAGCGACACTTTTGTGGCCAATATCGAACACTGTGGAACACAACATGTGTGTATTTGAGTGAGTGTGTGTGTAAGAGAGAGAGTGTGGCTTCGTTTGGGATAAATTTTTGCGGCAATTCAAACAAACAAACAAATAGGCAAACAAACACAAAAGCAAGGAGCTTCAGCGCCAATTCTAAACGCATTTAAAGCCGAAAACAAATCGAGTACTTGAGCAAATAGCATTTACAGTGATTATTCTCTAAAGTGCACTGACCCAAGTGTTTGGCAAACATAAAATCCATTTGAGTGGATAATAATAAAGAGTATTATCCACATTGAAATTTACCACATTTATTCCTTTTATAGAATTATAATTTAAGGTTTATTAAAGGCTTTAAAGTTACTGCTCAGCAACATTGATATGTTGACAGTGTCTAAGGATGTTCCTCGCAACATTTTCTTGTGCATTTTGCCTTGTCAGGATTAAGTTTTAAATAAAATTTTCTCCATTAACCAAAACATATTTATATGTACATGTATATAAAATGTAACTTAATTTAATGTGTGAGCACACTCTACTCTTTTTTTCCTACTTAATTTTTGTTATTTGTTTCAAATTCATTTCCAGTTGGCTTAACTTTTTGTTGCATGAAAATTCATATAAAAATAGGTACAAAAAAAATTGCCACGCAATTTGCAACACAAAAAAATGTGCGGGTATCTGATATGAATAAGTTAAATTAATGAATCTCATATAAAAAAGTTGAGCAAATTAAATGTAATATTCATGCCATTGCACACTAATTAATTTGCTAAATCTGTAAAATACACATTTGTGATTATAAAAGATTCACAGAAATAAAACAAGTAAAATATAATTCGATTTTATTTTTATCTTTACTAAAATATTCGTGTTTGTAATAGTTTTTACTGTATCATCTTTGAGATTTTTTTGTGTACTCGTGGAAAATGCTCGTGTTTTTCTTGCTTTACAAGATTAGAGGGGAAAACGCATTTGCAGGCTGGCGTGGATTATTGGATATGGACGATGAAAACTAAGATTTTTCCACTGGCCAAGCCAATTTAGCAAATAGCTTTAGTTCTCCCCTTGGATTTATATTTATATTCTTTTTACATATACCAATTTTGGAAAAGAGTGTACATAAATACACTTTTTGAATTCTGTATGTATATAACTTTTTCGTTTGAAAAACTTGACGAAAATAAGTGAGCAAATTGTTTCTATTTACTCTATTATTATAAATTTTTACTAGTTAAATACCAGATAACTTGTTAAACTTGAGTATGATTGTTTATATTATTATATTATAGTATATAATTTACTTTTTGTTTCTCTAAAAATTTAGAAATTTTTAAAAAGAATACATTGTATTATACCTTTGCAGGGTATAATAATTTTAGTCAGAAGCTTGTAAAACAGTGAAGGAATCATTTCCGACCCTATAAATCATATATATTCTTGATCAGCATCAAAAGGAGAATCGATCTAGGCATATTAGGCAGAAACAAAATTTTTTTTAATTTTTCCATTTTTTTTAGGGGTTTTATCGTTAAAATTAAAAAAAAAAAATCGACAAAAAAATTAATATTTTTTAATTTAAAACTGATGATGCAGATTTATTAAGCTAACAAAAATAAACATAGGACAGCTTTCCGATTTAAAATTAATGCATTTTTGGCCTAGTTATGAGTTTTTAAAAATGAGATTTTATCGATAATAGTGTCATTTGAAAATATCGATAAATATCGATTCAAAGAATGGGCTTTCTAATTTGATTCCATAAATAAATTGCAAACTGCAACTTCAGTTTCCCAAAGTGAGTTTCTTTCTTGTTTTAAATAAAAATCCCCTTTTAGTAAATAAATCAAACAAAAAATATAAACACTTTCGAAAAAACCCCTAATATTTTGATCCTTGCTGTTGGATCGTTATGTTTTTGGGCCTGAACAAATTTCCCATTACCATGATGTCACATTACATGGCCACTTAGTTATGAAAAGCATTTCAAGTGCTTTGCTCGCGTGTTGCATATTGTTGCTTTTGTACATACTCTCCTCTATGTTGGCTATTATTATTGTTGCTTTGGCATAGTTGTAAGGGTTAATCAAGTTGCTATTGTTGTTGCTCCTGTTGTTACTACTGGGTTTTGTCTAATTGCATTGGGGGGCCCCCATTGCATGATACTTAAATGCATTAAAGCCATCTCCCAATGGTATTGAGAGAGAGTGAAGCCGGTTGATGGGAGTTAAGGGAACTCACTCACCGTATGGACAGGATATGTCATTATCCGAATGCAATTGGTAAATTAAACAGCTAAAAGGATAAGCTAGATTGGCAGCAGGCAGCTCAGTTGGGAATCGAAGTACAAATAGTTTGATGGAAACCGCAATGATAAGCATATTGGTTTAGGGTATCAAGGGG